ACACACACACACTCACACACTAAATTAATTAATTAATTAATTAATTATTTTAAAAAAGAAGCTAGAAATTCTAACTTTAGATGATCATGTGATCAAATTTGACTATATTTTTAAAACATCAATCCTACAGATATCTTCCTGGTCAGTTAGTTTAATGAAGTATTTGAATTGTCACTTGCTATATTACTAAAGTTGAGTAATTCATATACTTTGTTTTATTTGGTGTTATGATTTGGTTTCAACATATTGAAACATTACTTGAAATAATACTTTTATTACTAGGCAATTTGAGAAAGGACTTCAGTATGATATGGAAGATGCATCTGTTCATGTGTGATTTTGGTCTACATCATTAATGTTTTCCTAACAGCAATTGAAGGCCAAGTACATAAATAGCAGCAGGCAGAGGGGAACTGGCATCATACATTCAACCCTTCTTTTAGAAGTAATTATTAATATTACTGTTCTTTGTATAAAAACTCATATGTATTATTAAAAAATGAATAAAAGTAACAGAAAATTTAAAAAAATAATACTTTTATAAAGCATGATTTTCACACTTACCTCATAGGTGAAACTAATTGGAGTATTATTGTCAAGTTCTGAGTAAAAATAGGTTATTCCAAAGATCTTTGAGTCTAAAATGAATCAAACATGCCCTTTCTGAAAACATGTGGCACCCTTATAAAATATTTCCACAACTCACAGAAGGTACTTTCACATTTATTATTTGATCGTGGTGCTAGCTCCCTGCAATAGGTGCTCTAGTCTGTCTGTAAGTATGTAGAGGAGGCCTTAAAAAGTTTTCATTTTTCTGCCTCAAATCTCTTTTAACCCATTTTATACACCAAAGAATTTCCCAAAATAATAGCTAGTTATAAGTTTATATCCAAATAGTGAGTGTATGAAAGTGTTATATAAATTCATAATGATTATAAAGTTATTGTGCTCCATGGTCTTTACTTTTTATCTTATGTATAATGTCATCTTTTTTCTGTGATTTTGGCTTTTTTTTTTTTTTTTTTTTTTGGTGGAACTGGGGATTGAACTCAGGCCTTTGCACTTGCCAGGGAAGCACTTATTCTACTGAGCCATCTCCCCGGCCCCATCATCTTTTTTCCAAGTATGTTCATAGCATACTTATCCAGAACAAATATGGTAAGATAGTTAAAATGCAATATAAATCAAAAACCAAAAAAATGAGTTATTTAATAGAATTTATATTTAAAGCATTTTGTAATGTGAAATTTTTTTTTCTAATTTTTGTTGAGAAACAAATAGCAGTGAGACAGTTTTCAAAACTGATCAATAGGACAATTTTAATAATTAATACATTGTACATTGTTATCTTCTTGGTTATCCATAGTACAAGAGGCAGACAGGATATCCTTTCCAAACACTATTAGTACAGATCTTTCTTTTCATTGAATTAAGCGAAAGTAACTGTATATCTATCCTATTTTGCATATACAGATACAAAATGGTCCTTCCTTTGTATCCCCTTTTTTATTTAGTCCTGTCAGAGATGGGTATTCCATTGGCATCTAAATATTATAGGTGTGTGAATTCAGCAAAACAGTCCAACACAGTCCAACAGTAGTGGGTTATCCACAGAAGTTGTTGACTGGAGCCTTTCACAGCTCAGCATATTAATATGGCTTTACTTTATATTCTTCATTTTTATACTTTTCTGCTAGATGCTTAAGACCAAGATAAAGCAAGACCTATATAACAAGAAATGTAACTTTTGTATCTGATAAGGTCAGTCAAATACCCTCAGGACTTATCCTGTAGCCCTGTACCCTTTGTACCCTTTGTACATCCTTTTGTCAGTGTCTGACATGAGGATGAGTCACGGCCATTGCTTGACCAATTTGCTCTCTGTGAAAGCCTGAGAGAATATTTTCTCTCCATGTGACTCTCCTTAGGCACACTCTAAGTCATCGATCACGTTGCTCTGTGGCCCCATAATCTCTCTGATCAGAAAATTTGGGGACACAACTGAGTTACATGATGTTACAGTATAGGTTCTCCTGTATCATGAGTCTTCACTGACCTTGAAAGGCTAGGGTCAAAATGTTGGCTGTCCTTGCAGCCTTTCTATTTCTCTAATTTTTGGTCTGCAAACTTAGATTAACCCTCCAGAAGAGAAGCTTATTATTACCCTACAACATATGCAGTTGGGTTTAACTTCACTATCTGTCTGATTATCAAATATCTTAGGCATAACATGGAACAGGTATTTTCCATCAAGTATTGATATGTTAAACTTTAAGTCCCCACAGAATATGGAGATAAAAATTTGAAAAATGAAAAATATTTAAAGAATATGAATAAACAATTATATTTTTACAGAGAAATTTAGAAATCTAACCTTATACAGCATTGTAGCAGGACAGTCCTGTGACATTTTTTTTCTTGTGTCTTTTTTTCAACAAATGAAATATTACAAAGCATTTTGAAGATTTTCCTTACCTCTGTCCTTATCAAGAATAGACTGATATCCAGAATTATGGGCCTGGAGATAATTTGATGAGTGATGAAAATATTTTGTATATGAATATATAAATTGTTCTGTTGGATATATAGGTATGTTTGTGATTCAGTTGAATTCCCCATTTCAACTTGAATTGTTCATTCCATTTCATACAATTATAGACCAATATGAGAAATAAAGTTGATTCCTTAAAAATAAAAAAAAATAAAAAAAAAAGAATAGACTGAAGTTCAATCCCCAGCCTGTTGTGCCAGCCCACACCCTCAGGGTGTGCTGAGCCAGGGAGCGGGGTGAGACGAGGCATGATGGTGCGCACCTGTAATCCCAGCATTTGGGAGGCTGTAAAGAGGAGGATCACTACAAGTCTGATCTGTGTACTGACACCCTGTAGAACCTGTACTAAATACATTTTTTATTTTATTTATTTATTTATTTATTTATTTTTTGGTGGAACCGGGGATTGAACTCAGGCCCTTGCGCTTACCAGAGAAGCACTTATTCTTATTCTACTGAGCTATCTCCTTGGCCCCTAAACACATTTTTTAAAAAAGAATATATAATTTTACCTAAGAAGTATCTAGTTTTCTTTCCCTCTCTCCCTCTCTCTCTTTTTTTTTTTTTTGAGTTTTGAGACACGGTCTCACTATGCCGTTGAGGTTGGTCTTGACCTTACTTAGTAGCCCAGGCTCAGTCTCCCAGGTGCTGGGATTACAGGCGTGCACCAGAGTCCAGTTGTCACTTTCCTTCTTAAATATGTCCAGGGACACTTGATGATAATTAAGAGATTACTGCTTGCTATTCAAGATTATTGAAGTCAGATGGTGAGAAACTTGGGCTCAGTATACTACTTACTTTCTTTACTTCCATGTGTTTGTGATTTGTCATAATAAAAAGCTTATTAGTAAGAGAACATGTGTCTGGGAACTCTGTCACTTACAGAAACATTGAAGCATGTTATCATGGCCTATGGGACCTTGGGCAGTTTGTCCCAAATGCCTTTAGTTTCATCTCTTCTTATGTTCATCTTACACTGCAGATGCCCTGAATGCTTTGTCCATTTGATATTCTATTATTCTTCAGTCTATTTTATTTTTTTTTAATTTTTTTTATTTTAACATTTATTGTGTGTGTGTGTCTGTGTGTCTGTGTGTCTGTGTGTCTGTGTCTGTGTGGCCAGCTCAGCCCACCAGGGGGCGCGGCTGGCTGGCATGTGGTGCTGGGGGATTGAACCGCGGTCCCTGTGCTTTGCCAAGCTTGTTCCAAGTAGGTGCTTTAGACCGCTGAGCCATCTCTCCAGCCCCCTTCAGTCTATTTTAATAGGTAAAATAATGAATAGTACACTGTTCCTTCTGCCCATGTCCCCTTCCCCTGTACAGAAAACACCTCCTACCTCCACCCACCAGGCTGCCACTCGGCTACAAACGCTTATGTTGCAGTGGTCCCCCTCCACTGTAGGTGATGAATCTGTGCCCTTTCCACATTGTCTTGGTCACTAGTTCCACAAATTTTCTGCTTGCTCAGGCTCTTAAATATCAGGAACATGTTTTATTGACACTTATTGTTGCTACATATGTTTTCTCCATGTTTGGGCCCTTCATATTGCCGTACCCCATAAAATTATTTTTAAATCTAGAAGCAAGATTTTGTTTTTTAACTTTTTTTTCTTTTTCTTTCTTTTCTTTTTTTTTTTTTTGTGTGTGTGTATGTGTGTGTATTTGGCACAGGGTCTCACTACACAGCTTGAACTAGTAGTGATCCTCTTGTTTCCAGCCTCCCCAGTGCTGGGATTACAGGTGTGCACCGCCACGCTGGGGGCAGGGCCAGTGTGGCATGTGAAGATTTTTGTTTTTAACTTGCAGGTTTTCTTCAATTACTAGTTACCTATTTTCTGTGAAAATTCATGACTTATGTATATTTTTAGGCCTCAGGAAATCAATAAAGAAGAACTAGAGGGAAACAGCATGAGGTGTGGTAGAAAACTTGCCAAAGATGGTGAAGTAAGTATGTGCTTATTAACAGTATCAACATTCTCCTATAAATTGTAAAGAAAGTTTGGCTCAGTATTTTCTCTAGGTTCATATTTGCAGTTTTTCACAGTAAGGTTAAAAGCAAGCACGTCTGAGAATTCTTACCAGTCAGTGCACTGAACATCATAATCACGACGCCTGTCACTCCAGAAGAGCTTATTTGATGGTTTCTGTAGCATGATGTCCTGGGTGAGGAGTGGTATCACTGTGCCCAGTGTAGATTGATTGTGCTTCCTTGTGTAAGGCTGTTGAACTTAAATTTGGGGTCCAGATAAGAGATTTGCAAGAAGATCCCTTAGCAGTCCAGAAAGCAAGATAAAGAAATTATGTGGGGCTGGGCATGGTGCTGCACGCCTGTAACCTCAGCACTTGGGAGGCTGACACAGGAGGATCATGAGTTCCAGGCCAGCCGGAACTATATAGCAAGGTCTTATCTCAAAAAAAAAGTTATGTGGGAGCTGTTACATAGTCTTGAAAAGTGAGTCATGGGCTGGGGAGATGGCTCAGTAGAATAAGCACGTCCCTGGCAAGCGCAAGGGCCTGAGTTCAATCCCCAGTTTCGGAAATAAATAAATAAATAAATAGCTTACTTTAAAAAAGCTGACTGTGACCCATTAAGTCAGTTATATAGCCTAATCATAATCTTCATCTTTAAAGAAATGTTATCCTAACTTAGGTCACCTTCTGGTTCTTTTTCTCACAAATTTACCTTTAACTTTTTAAAGGTCAGTTATTTTATGTTTGTATTCCCCATTGTATGTAGTCAGAGTATGAGTTACTTTTTCATTCCTCCTCCTTCCTTGTTGCTGCTTCCAGATCTTGCTCCTCTTTCACCCCTCACTGAATCCTTGTGACTTTCTGTCTTGGGTAGGATCTCACTCCCCAGCTGGGACTCATAGTGATCATCCTGTTTTCAAATCCTTGTGTCGTTAAAGCCACCTTGCAGTGCCTGTCATACACAGGGCTCATCTTGTCGCCACTTTTGTTATCAGTTGTGATTTCACTGTGTCTGTTCCTGGCCGTCCTTACCCCAGTGATCTTGTGTCCCGCCCTGCCTCAGGCTCCCATTCCCATAAGGACAGCCTCAGGTTTTGCGTCACTGGGTCCCACCACCTTCAGAATCTCTATTTCAGGTGTCCTATTTGGTGCTCCACTTCCTTTGCTCTTCTAGCTTTCTCCTCTAGCGCCTGGACTGCAACAGTAGTGTAATCCCACTGAGATGTACAGTACATTGTTCTTACTCCTTTTTTTCCAATTGCCTCTCTTACTACATCCCTACTTCTTTCTTTACTTAGCTTCTATTTTATGTTCTATATTAAAATGGGCCTTTTTAGTTTCTCTTTTTCCTCATTGACACTGTTATACTCATCTGGCTAAACCCCAACTTGTTTTACATCCTGCCTTTTTGTGCACTTCATGCCTACATTCAAATAGATGAGTGTGCCTGCGTATGGCATATCCCAGTGGGGTTCCCTTAAGTGTTGTGGCCACACAGAAACGTCAGAGGGTCTGTAGTGCTGCACGGTAGTTCCCCCGCATCCCCAGTGAATTTATCATCCTCCTTTCTGACGTGACACCCTCTCCGGAAGGGGAGTGCTACACGAGGGCCTTGTTTCTTCTGTGGTAGGAAGAGACTGCGCACCTTCTCAACAGTCGCAGCAGCCTGCTGCATCTCTGCTGTGCTTGTGCTGCTCTGCTCTGTGGCTGCACCGTCTCTGTCCTGGCACATCCCACAGTCTCCTCTAGCTCTCCTGTTTCTCTGCAGCCCTTTTAGACAAAACTCATTGAAACAGTTGCTTGTATTCATTCTCTCTGCTTAATCTTTTCCAAGTTGTTCTGTTTTATTTGTAGCCTCTTGATTATCTGCAGTTACTGGTGTTCATCACTACTCCAGTGCCTTCTTTAATACACTCCCAGTTCTTTTGTACCACTCCACTGAAACTGACAAGCCAGTATCATCACTGACCCCACACTGCCAAATCAAGTAGTCAGCAGTCTTATTCTGGCAGATCTTCGGCAGCATCAGCATTTGTTTCCTCAGTCATGAATTAAAAAAAAAAAAAAAAAATAATAATAATAATAATAATAATAATAATAATAATGTATTTGGTACAGGGTCTTACTATACAGCTTAGCATCATAGTAATTTTCCTGTTTCAGCCTCCCCAGCACTGGGATTACAGACTTTTGCCATCATGTGTAGTCCTGGGACCAGGAATCAAACCCAGGTCCTTGCACTTGCCAGACAGGCACTTAGACCACTGAGCTATCTGTGCAGCCCTCTTCAGTCATTGAAAGATCTTCTCCACTCAGCTTATAGGACAGCATACGCTGCTGGTTTTCTTCCTGACCACTTCTTCTAAAGTCGTTGCTAGATCATTTCTTGCTCAGCAAATATTGCTGAGGCTGGAGGCGTAGTTCTTACACTTTTTTCATATCTGTGCTTACCCTAGTCCTGTGATGTCACAGCCCATCTCTTTACTGATAGCCACAACTCCAAGTTCATACCTGTAAGTGTTCACTTGGCTTCTTTCTTAAATACTGTATGGCATCTCATACATAACACTCCTGGAGGCTGCAGGTGGCACTCAGTGGTGAAGCACTTTCCAAGCATGTACAGGACTTTGAGTTTAATCTGTAGCACCACCAAAAACAGCCAAACAATCCAGAGTACTTGAGTTTCTTCCCTAAATAGCCTTGGTCCCAAATATTCAATGCATAGATAGCCTCTCTATTCCTCATGCATAGGCTCCAAACTTGGGTTCCTTTTGTACTTCTCTTTCTTTTGTACCACTCTTGGTGTCTGTGTCTGCAAGGCTCTGTACCTAAAATGCATTGTTAACGTGTCTACCATGAACACCCAAGCCCAGGTCACCTTATTCCCGTTCCTGGGCTATTAGCACAGCCTCAGAACTGCTCCTGTTTTACTTCTCCATTCAATAGCCAAAGTGGTCTTTTTAAAGTGTAAGTTAGAAATAAACAAATAAATAAATAAAAATAAAGTGTAAGTTAGGTCATCATTTCCTTCTCTAATAGCTTTTGCCACATTTAGAAGACAGCTGAATCTTCCTTGCTGTAGACTATGAGGCCTACCTTTCCGGCTTTGCTGTGCCTATGAACTCATCTGCAGGTTTTGTCCCAGTCAGTTGTTGTCCTGGCCACAGAGCCCTGCCTGCTGTTCTTCAGATATGCCAAGCAAGCTCTTACCGCCCGGCCTTTGCACTAGCTCTGATCTCTTCCCTTGATAATTTCTCCCAGGCAACTACCTGGTCTCCTCCTTCACTCAGCCTCCTCAGAACCTTCCCTGAGCACTGTGTAGAGGAGCTGGCTTCTCAGCTGCGAGCTGCCCTCCACCCTGTGGCTCTCTCCCGACAGTCTCATCTTCTCCATTCTATGAGCATTATTCATCCCTGCCTCATACCACACAAACATACTCACATGGTAGAATATAAACCCTGCTAGAGCAGAAATTTCATTTTATTTGCTTCTGTGTTTCCATTGCCTGGAGCAATAGCAGTGCCTGTCATATTTGCTTAACATGTATTAGTAAAATACTGACTTAATGCTGTAATTCATGATGTCAGACAAACCCTTGAAGTTTGTCTGACTTGACTTCTCTGTATCACACTACTTTGCCTAATATCTCTTGTTGAATATTCAACAGAAAAAGCAAACTCAGAACCTCTTGATGTATTTAAAATAATCCAGTTCTGCCAGGCAGAGTGGGACACACTTGTCATCCAGGCACTCAGGAGGCTGAGGTAGGACTGCCATGAGCTGCAGACTAGTCTTTGCTACTTGGTGAGGTAAAGGCCAGCCTAAACTGCGTAGCGAAACCTTGCCTCAAAATGACAGAAACATGAAATAATCCAGTTGTATATATTTCTGTTGTTTAATTACTTAAGGTATTTTTTTTTAAATTTTATTTATTTATGTGTGTGTGTGTGGCCAGCTCAGCCCACCAGGGGGTGGGGCTGGCTGGCATGTGGTGCTGGGGGATTGAACCACGGTCCCTGTGCTTTGCTAAGCTGTTTCTATGTAGGTGCTTTAGACCACTGAGCCATCTCACCAGCCCTCTATGATCT